GTTGTGGGGGTTGTTAACCAATGTCATAAAACAATATGTGTACTACTGTTTCATGAGAAACTATATGTTCTGTAAGCCTTCACCTGAAGTACAATTAAAAAAAAAGATATCTAAAGATTCTGATTATAGGCCCTCAGTTTTGCTTCCTTCTAATCATTCTTTTAAGCAGCCTTGGTGGTTCAGTGGTTAAGCATGTGGCTGCTAAATGAAAGGTCAGTGGCTTGAACTCACCAGCCCGCTCCTCGGGAGAAAGATGTGGCAGTCTGCTTCCATAAAGATAACAGCTTTGGAAACTCCATGGGGGCAGTTTTACTTTGTCCAGAGGGTCTCTTTGAATCGGAATCAAGTCAATGGCAATGAGTTTTTTTGGTTTAATCGTTCTTTTAGAAAATTTAAGACTTCATGATAATTTGTTGAGGCTGGTAGACCTAAGAGGCTGCCAGAAAAGGACCTCCTACCTATGTGCTTGCTGAGCCACTATTGGTCAGACAGCTTGGCTGAAGTCCTGTAGTTATGTAAGAAACGACAAAATTTAGGTCAACATTTTCTTTATAAAGAAGCTGATCTGTTACCAGAGAGAAATCTTCTGTCTCTGAAGGGAAATTCTGGGCTCTGCATTACCTAGCTTAGTGTCATTTTTTTGTTGGTTTTGTTTTAAACTGAACTAGCCTTTCTTTTGGGGCTGACCTTTGTATCAAGGCATTAACCTTGGAGAACCAGCTGCGAAGAAACAGTTGCTCAATTTTCCTTGTCTACAGCATGAACTAACCTCAACTGTTCTATTTATGCCTGAGCTTCATCTGTCAACTTAAAAAAAACAAGTTGCAACAACAATGTATAAGTAATATAAAAAAAATGTTTAAACATGTTTATACACACCTTGGAAACATTCTGGAAGACACCAAACTATTAACAGTGACCCTCAGGAATGAAACCGATGGGGAAAGACTTATGAATTTATTAATTTACTTATTATCTGATTTATATCACACATATAATTATTTTTATAATGAAAAAAATAAAACATTGAAAACTCCCAAGTTATGTGCGACAGACACCTTGTTTTCTTTTCTCCCTTCTCCATTTCCTAGGACCACGGATATAGTCCCATTGGCTAGAAGGCACAGTGTAAATTACTGATGTAAATAGGGTGTTAATGAATATGTTAACTTTCTTTCAAGGCTCCAATCTGGCTGTGGGGAACCCAGTTCATACAAGGCCGTAGTCCTGCTCTGAAGTCACATTCCCCAATGCATTCAAATCCTGCCTTCCTCTCCCCCTTCACTGCTACACTGTGTGTGTACAAAGCAGCCGTATCTGAGCGGAACCTGAACACAACAGAGCACTTTTCTACACCAAGACACCAAACGCAGACACAGCTGCAAGTGCAGCTGAAGTTCACACAAAGCTTTTCTCCCAACTTCTATCTGCACAAAGAAGGGAAGAGGGGTGGGAAAGACTAAAAGACAGTGGGAGACACAGAAATCCATGTAAACTGCCAAGGACTGAAACATTAGCTAAGACTTGAGCCTCTGACTATGACTACTTGGCCTCAAAACTGAAGAAAATGATCACATCTTCCTTTTTAAGTGTTTGCTGTCAGTGACCAGAAATTCCTTTAAAAAAAAACAAACGCCAAAAAGTAGACATATCCATTCCTTCTTATAGCTGTGGGAAAAGAAAAATACTTACTGTGGAGCAGTGGAGAGGGAGAGGAAGGCAAGAGTTGAATGCAGGTATGAGAGAGAGAGAAGGAGAGAGACTGACTGCAGGCTCCTCAGCTCTCATGCATTTCACTTCATGTCTGGATTTGGGCCACTCTTATAAATCAGATCAATCCCCTCTCCTCTAGGAAGCTTTCCTTGATCATCGCAGCCAGTCATGGCCTCCTCCTCTGAACTTCAAAGTTGCTTCCTTATAATATTTGAAAATTATAAGTGACCTCATAATATTTGTTCTCTTTGTGTCATCCATCCTGGAACCTTCTTAAGGTCAGGGCACCGGTTTCTCGGTTTTGAATTTTCTACAATGTCTCTCTTTTCTGACGATATACAATTTCTATACTTAGTCAAATGAACTGTAGAGACTTCAGGGGCTATAAACTGGATTAGTTCACAGATCTCTTCTCAAAGTGTTTTAAAGAATATCTGAATGGGAATGCTTTAGGCAGAGCCCCTGCACTCCACTTTTCCCCAGTTGGTTCTAGTCCCCAGCACAGTCTATGTCTGAAGCCTGCCCTCCTGCCTGGCACTGAAGGCTGCTCGGTCTGGCAGACCCACTAAGTTGTGGACTAAGTGCCAGCTCACCATCCTCACCTGAACTGGAGTGAATACTTTTTATCATGCCGTCTCCCTGACAGACTCTGTAACTTTCTTAAATTGCACTTTACAATTAATAGAGAGGGCTGGAACAATAGCTACTCAACTTTAATTAAAGCCCAATTCATAACTCTGTAAGAGATTTTAGAATGTTATGTCTTTATTCTTGACTACTAAATAAGACTCAAGAAAACATCTGGTTTGAAGTCATTAGAGAAAATAAGAATAATAATATTCTGAAAAACTAAAAATATTTCTGAAATCTACCGTTATATACCAAACCCAAAACCAAGCATGCTGTCGTCGAGTTGAGTCCAACTCACAGCGACCCTATAGGACAGAGCAGAACTGCCTCAAAGGGCTTCCAAAGCTGTGATCTTTACAGAAGCAGACTGCCACACCTTTCTCCCATGGAGTGGCTGATGGGTTCGAACCGTCAACCTCTTGGTTAGCAGCTGAGCTCTGAACCACTGCGCCACGAGGGCTCCACTGCTATATAAGCAACACCAAATGTTTAACTCAAAAAAAGTTATTCAAAAGCTACTGTGTACTGGGTAAAGATGAGCAAGACTGTTCACTAAAGTGAACTGAGGCACTGTGGTGGGCAGAAAAGCGCTAGGCAGCAAGTTAGGAGGCTATGGTCCAAGGTGACCTGCTCACTTCCCAGAGTCTCAGCTTTCTTGATTCACAACAGATGGATAGTGATAGAACACTCAGAGTTTCTGGGTTAAAAAGAAATAAAGAATGGCCTACTTCTTTATGAATTATAAAATGCTAGATAAACATATAGAGACCTGGCTCTGGGACTTATGAACTGCGTGATCTGAGGTATGTAACTTACCTTCTCCAAGCTCCAGTCATCTCATCTGTAAGAAGGGCTAACGATGGAATGCTTGCACGTTACCATCCAGCATCACTGCTGGATTCGTGTCCAAGGAGAAGCAAAGCAATCAGTATTTTCTCGCTTATGGCTCCCTCATACGGTTTTTGGGAAATTAAACGAGAAAACCCATATAAAGTGCTTTAGCACAATAAATGTTCACAAAGCCAATAATAGTTAATAAATATTGGCTTATATGTATTAAGAATTTAAAATACATTTACTAATTACCGGTGTAGATAAAAAGACGTATATAAACATTTACTATGTCAGACACTGTGCTGGGCACAGGCTATATTTTTCTCTTTTAATCCTCCTAACAGCCCTGTCAGGAAATCACTGGTAGCAAAACAGTTTCGGCTTTGCTTGCCCACAGAGAAGGATAGGATGCTAGTTCTGGGATGGATGAAAAAAAGGTCACGTCTCAGGCATGCACGAAGTGAGCGGGTGACATTTTAAAGGACTCTTTGGTTGTTGTGATAGTCAACCTCCAAGCTGGCCTCCAACAATCTTGTTTTCTAGAACTTATGCCTCCTCCCACTAAACCAGGTTTGGTCTGTGTGATCAATAGAATAAGGCAGAAGTGACGATATGTGACTCATAAGTTTAGGTAATAAAGGAGTTTCCATCTTGGGTGCTCTTTCGTGTTCTTGCTCTTTTGAAATCACTCACTATGAGGGAAGCCATTTCATGAGCAATCCTATGGAGAGGCCCAGGTGACAAGGAACTGAAGCCTCCAGTCAACAGCCATGTGAGTGAGCCTGGAAGCAGATCTTCCAGCCCCAGCTGAGCCTTGAAAAGGTAGGAACCTCCTGAAAGACCTTGAGCCAGAACCACTCAGCTGAGCAGATCTCAGAGTGGGGAAAAGAGGCCTTCCTTCCTGGTTGATGAGCAGGATGCACAATGGGCAAAAAGAACAAGGCCACGAGGGAAGCTTGCACACGGCCTGATGTGGCTGGTGCCATGGATGATGGAGCTGGGACTGGGGTGGCCAGCAGCTCCTGGGGCAGGAGAGCCACTAGGATGAGAGATGCTACAGGTACAGGAGCTCACTGACTGAACATGGGGAGTGGAGTGCATAAGAGGTATGGCGAGTGAGAAGACTTCTCATCAGGGAATGAAATGGGTAGGTAGAGGGTGAGCAGGAGAATTACTGAGGCACAGAGCAGCCTTTCCCTCCCTCATGAGGCTGGAATGCCTGTGCAAGCAGCTGAGCTGATCCTGGGACAAAATGAAAAGGGACTATGATGATAGTTCCAGGCTACTCATCACGGGGAATTTGTCAGAGGACTTGCTTGGACTGATCACTAAGTAAGAGATTAACAAATGCAAATAGATCCTTAAAATGATCACTTTTCTGGAATGACTTAATCTTAAGGTGTTACCATTTAGAAAAAAGAACTAGTATCTCTCATTCAGATTAAAAAACTCAAAATAATCAGAAGCGGAAAATCCCTGAATAAATATCCAAATATAGCCTGTTTAAGAAATCACTGGTTCCTTTGCCAATCAACTCATTTAAAAAAAAAAAAAATTCCCAAAGAGTTTTTTTTTCCTATTTCTCCTAAAATTCTCTTGAGATAACCCAGTGTTCTCCCACTTTCAAGTTTTTCTTCCTTTATGCTGCTCTCTTCCTTATTTTTGGCCTTTTTCATAATTCTCTCAGTCCTGTTTGGTCTACATTGTTATGTCAAAAGTTTCTGCCCCCAAGAATGTTGCTGAGGAGCTCAGGATAAACCTAGTTCCACTCACCCTTCAACATACAGGAGTGGGAAAAGAAGGGTGAGAGAACCCAAGGATTGGACCTGAAGAGGGGTTAAGAGTGATCATACAAAATGAGGCTTCTAACTCAAGATGAGATTTACAACTACTGTCTGGCATTTATATTGCACAAGAAAGGAAATCAAGACTATCCCTGAACCAGATACTAGATCAACATATGGATTGTACTTTATTGGTAACAAGGAGGCAATGAAATAAGTCTTAGGTGTAACTTTTGTAGAGGGGAGAATTTGATGCCACTATGTATGTGGAAAGCCAAAAGGTAGAAGAAGCTGAGGTTTAAATAATTAGTTTCAGAAAGCGAACAGTCCTTTTATCATTACTAGCTGATACTCCTTTAGAAAGGGCAAAGTAAATACGGACAGAAAACAGCTAAAGAGAACAACAGGATAGGCTATTACTTATTTTTATCTACTGTGTATTTTAGGAAAGACAGTCAGGGTTCTATTGCCAAAAAGCCACGATGAACTTTCCCTTACTTACAGCCTCTTTTTCTCTGTCCATGATTGTTTCCAGCTCTTCAAAATGTCGAAGTTTGATCTCTAGTTTCTTCATTTGTGTCTCAACCAGGAGGGCTACCAGGGACTTGATCTTTCTCTCTTCCACAGCAGCCAGGTGCTAAGGGCAAAATCATTCAAATTATTTAGGTAAACATCTGCTTAAAAAACAGTAACAAAATGCTGAAGCTCATATTCAGAGCGGGGATTATGTAATTAAGAATGGTGGCCTAGAAGCTCCCTTTGTATGTTTCTGCCATATATTTATTTCAGTTTAAAATGACGATCACCACTGAATTTCTAGACCATATAAAGATAAAACACTTTTAAACGACTTTTAAATAAAAACCTCTTCCCATGGTAAACTACTTCCTTCAGAGAGCCTATCAAAGAGGGAAAGTTGAAGCAGGGCCCTGATGGGCATCCCCCTTCTCCCTTTACTGCCCCCCGCCCCGTATCTTTCCCTCCTCTATGTATTTTGAAGCGTCAGGGTCCCCCAATAGTATCCTTCTCTCCCTATGTATTTTCCAGCTTCAGGCAGGCAGCGGTTTCCCTCAGCACCCAACACTAAGATGCAAAGCCTCGGCCTTCCTTCTGGTTAGTGGAACTGTGTGTGGGAATGAGGGGGTAGAACAAGATTCCTTCTCTTGTTTAACGGTAGTGTCCAGAGCAGGAAAAACAAAGCACAAGACAGGAAGTAACTCTGCAAGAACATGTCACTCCTTTGCCGCAGAAATAATGATGAGTCCTACTCATGTTTCTTATCAGCACAGAACTAGCACAGCGAAGAAGATGCCACATCACCCAGAGAGGACAAAGATTCCATCTGGCCAAAGCCCTGCAAAAGGCAAATCCAAACTTCTCTATACCATCTAAGGACTTCCCCCAAACACTCCCAATACCACTTTGCATTCACTTTTATTATACCTGCTGCATTTATGTGCCTATCCTGCTTCTAAGACAAAGGTTTTGAGAAACAGCAAGAATGGTTATCTTATTGATTTCTGCGTTTCCTACAGAATCTAGTAGGAGATGACATGCAGTAGGAGTTTAATATAGGCTTTTGGGAGTTAAATTGGTAGTCATAACATTTAATGAGAGCCTTATATTTCACCTTTTATAACTGAAAAAGAAAACTGTAGTATCACAGCTGTGGAGACCCATGAGTAGGAAAATTCAGAAATGTAAGCAAAAGATGATGATGTGAAGGTTTTATGAATGAATCTACAGCTGTTAATGATAATGTTTTCCTCTCTAAACTGCACTGAGCTACATGAATGCTAAAATTAATAAAAATCAATGCAAAGAAAGGAAACATAATCACAATATACTATCAGGTTCTACATAAGCAAAATGATATAAATATTGATTATTAAATTAAGTAAAAATAAAGATATAACCATACTGGATGCTTGGGAAAGGAAGGTGAGAATAGTGCTTATGAAATACTAATCCTCACTCTTCAAATTATGTGAGCAACATTGTCTGAAACTGAAAAATCAAGAAGTAGTAGAATGACTTATTGAAAATAGCCAAGGTACTGTACTACAAGAGTTAAAACGGTTTAAAAAAAGGCTGGATCTGGGGAGACAGAGGAGTGGAGAAGGATAGAGAGGCACCAGTAGCATTTTTTTAAAATATCTTCTTAGTATTCAAATGCTAAATAGGAAATTTTTAGTTTGATAAAAATAATAATATAGGATGCAAAGAGAACTTTCTGGAAGAGGTCACAGGTCCCCAAAGACCATGTATAAAAGGTGGCAGGAATGAGACACAAGTGAAAGCGACAGACCTAAAAAGAGATGTCATGAAGTCTAAAGTCCAGAGAAACTCGTAGAAGAGAAACACGGAGAAAAAGGAATGACAGATAAGAAAAAGAATAGGAGAAGAAAGTGGAGAAGCAGGAGAGAAAGAGTGATGGAGAAGAAAAACCTACTGCAATAGTCCAAGTAAGAAATGATGGTATGGTGGCAACTCTGATCATTGTAAGAAAAGAAGAATCATTAACAATTACTACCTGTTAGAAATAAGTTCTAAAGTATTTGATGGATGAAACAATGTCTGAGATTTGTTTTACAATACACCAGCAAAAGCCCCTCCAACCTAAAGACAAATAAGAGACGAATGAAATAGACAAGATAACCAAAGCTAGAAGACGACAATGTGGAGACTCATTACTTTTGCATACAGTGCAATGTTTCCATAATCAAGTTTTAAAAGGGGGGTGTTATGGATCGACTTGTGTCCCCCGAAAATGTGTGTCAACTTGGCTAGGCCATGATTCCCAGTATTGTGTGACTGTCCACCATTTTGTCATCTGATGTGATTCTCCTATGTGTTGTAAATCCTGCCTCCATGATGTTAATCAGGCAGGACTCACTCAATCTACAAGACTGAGTTGTACCTTGAATCAATCTGTTTTTGAGAAATAAAAGAGAGAAGTGAGCAGAAAGATGGGAGGGACCTCATTACCACCAAGCAAGAAGAGCCAGGAGTGCGCATCCTTTGGAACCAGCGTCCCTGCACTGAAAAGCACCTAGACAGGAGAAGATTGATTAAAAGGACCTTCCCGTAGAACCAACAGAGAGAGAGAGTCTTCCCCTTGAGTTGGCACCCTGAATTTGGACTTCTAGTCTCCTAGACCGTGAGAGAATAAATTTCTCTTTGTTAAAGCCATCCACTTGTGGTATTTCTGTTATAGCAGCACTAGATAACCAAGACAGAGGGTTTTCAACAAATGCTGCTGGAATAACTGGGCAATAAACCAAAAACCAAACCAAACCAGTTGGCGCTGAGCTGATTCCGACTCACAGCGACCCTATAGGACAGAGTAGAACTGTTCCATAGGGTTTCCAAGAAGCTTCTGGTGGATTCAAACAGCAGACCCTTTGGTTAGCAGCCGAGCTCTTGAGTTTGGTTTTTGATTTTACCCCACATCATACACAAAACTAAACTCAGTGGAATACAGACCTCAATGTAAGAGCTAACACTAAAATTTTAATGGAAAGAAACGGGGATAAATCTAAATAATCCTGGGTTAAAAAATGATTTCTTAGACATGACATCAAAAGTACAACTAATAAAAGAGAAGACTGATAAGTTGGACTTCAACAAAATTACAAACGTTTTTGCTTCAACGGATACCATCAAGAAAGTAAAAAGACAACCAACAGATTGTGAGAATACATTTGCAAATCATATACCTGAAGAGATATGTATCCAGTGCATATAAAGAACTCTTAACAACTTACACCTAGGAATGAAGTGATACTGTTGGTAATCTGAAGGCTAAGAAAACTACTCAGCTGCAAAAGTGGACTACTTTCTTTTTGATGGAAAAGCAAAAAGACTTAGAAGGCAGAATCAAAAGTCCAGAGGGTCAAGTTAATAGCCATGGGGAATTAATTCTCAGGGAGTAGGACTGGGCCCTGACCATGGAACTGGCAATGTCTGTCTAACTAGAGTTCAGAATTGCTGTGAACCAGTGAGTCAGTCCTCCGTACCTGTTTTCTCCCTTCTTAAACGGGAGTACAGTTGTCCCGTGTCTCACCACTGTTATGTTAGTCCACAAATTCTTCAAATTGAGAAGGTCAACATAAAAGTAGCAACACTGGAGTAACCACTCCTAAGGACCTTCATCTCTACCTGAACCTGACTTAGAAGATAAGATCCTGGACCTCCAGCCTGAGCCTGATGACATAATGGGATGGGACTGTGGGGACCCTGGGAAGGGATGTTTATTTTGCATGTGGGGGAAATGCAAATAATTCGTGGCCGGAGGGTAGAGCATGGTGGGGTAAGTCTTCCTTCCACCTAGAGGTATGGTCTATGTCCCCTCACCTTGAATTGGAATAGAACCTGTGACTACTCTGACCAGTAGGTACGGCTGAAGTTATGCAGCACCAGGTCCAGGCCGTAAGAAACTGGCAGCTTCCCGTTCTTGCTACTGCTTGGACACTTTTCTCTTTAAGTCCTAAGCTGCCATGAAAAGAATCCAACGAATATGAGACCACCCTATTAAAAAGAAGGCCAAGCTAATCTCTTGGAGAGGCTGTGAGGAGAGAGTGCTGCCAGCCAACCCCCAGCTAGTTTCCATCCCAGCCTAGGCAGCAGGCATGTGAGTGAAGTTGTCTTAGGTCCTTCATTAACAGCCCAGCTGTGAGAATACTGGGTGATGCCAGTGTGTGCCACATGGAAAATTTTCCAAGTTCCTCAACCCATAAAATCATGTGATATAATGATTGTGGCTTTAGGCCACTAAATTTTGGGGGTAGTTTGTTACATAGCATTGGATAACTGAAACAGCAACACTGCTGATGCTCAGGCTGTGGCTTATTGAAGGGTCTGGCAGCAATGATGACTATGGCCTTCCAACAAAGGGCTACATGGAGAGCCCCAACCCTTCGTGTATTGGTTTTATAAAACCCAAGGAGAATGATGAGGTCTGGAGTCTGCCTCAGAAGTTATATGGAATGTGGAAGAAACAACTCAGAAAAAAATTAGTAAAAATGTAATAACTTGGTTGCAACAGGGTTGAGGTAAACTTTACTAATAAAGCATGCATTCTAATTGGTGGAAAAGAAGTAGTTTCTGTTTAGTCATATAAGGATGACAGCAAACAGAACTGTAGGCAAAATAATCAAATAGGCCAAATTTTCCTTCTGCATTCTCTCCACAGTTATCATCAAGTAAAAGGATATATTATCAATGACCAATATGCCTAGTATAAAACAATTTCGATCAACCCTTACCTATTAAAGTTTGTGCCTAAAATGTAGGACGAAAATTTCCCCATCTCAAGAAGGAATTGCAGGCGTTAAGTGAGCAAGTAATACTAAGTATTTCTGAGGGGTAAGAATCTTTCTCTTGCCCCAGAACTAAAACCTAATCACCATGAATATAAATCTACTTTAGCCGTTTTTGGGTATATGGGTATGGGGTGGTAAATCTGAAGGAAATGTCTGTGGTCTTAAAAGGTAATCTCCATTCTCTTGAAAGAACTGAACCCTACTCCCGCTGAAAAAAAGAGAACACATTCCAGTGTAATGGTTAAGGTTGTGCGTCCACTTGGCTGGGCCATGATCCTCTGTGATTTGATAGTTGTATGACGGTGTGATCACTTCCATGATGAGAATTGATATTATAGATGACCTCCATGATGGGATCTGCTGTGAGAAGCCAAACAGCTGAAAGGGAGTTTCGTGTGGTTTGCATTGAATATAAGTGGATATTCTGGCAAGGCTTGAGGCTTTTGCTAGTTTTGGATCCTGCAGCTGGTACGTATTCATCTGATCTCTGGTTCTTGGGACTTGAGCTAGCAGCCTACCTGCAGTCCTGCCTGCCAGTCTTTGGGATTTGTTGATCTTCACAGCCTGTGAACAAGAGCCCTGCTCTCTGACCTGCTGATCTTGCGTTCGCCAGCCCCTGTGGCTACGTGCATCAGGAGAAGCCCGATCCACGGACTTGGGATGTTCCAGCCTCTACAACCACGTGAGCCATTTCTTTGATATAAATCTCTATATATATACATATTTATATGCTTTACTGGTTTTGCTTCTCTAAAGAACCCAGCCTAAGGCAACTAGTTTCTGGTTTATTCCAATGATAGTTCTGGATCATTCCTTCCCCCTAAACATAAACGCCCAGACAAAAGGGATACCAAGCACCCGGCCAATGGTGCTTCTGCTCGTACTCACATAGCACTCCTTGTTAACAAGTGCAATGGATACGCTTCTGAAGAGTTCTTCAAATGGCAGGGATGGGGAGAAGCCAGAAAGCATGCTACCCCATCTGTTTAGGAGCTAGATCTAGAACCTCTAATTACCACTCCATATCAGAGTGTGACAAACAATTAAAATGTATCAAGGAAAACTCTTAATAACAAAGCTTCTTATAGACACAGAAGAACAAAAAGAGTGAGAACTTGGACAGGCGAGACGAGTTATACTAATTACAGTAATTTCAGTGAATTCTTTACCCCTTAATTACTATGTAGTACAAAAATGATTGTGTGCGCTGTGAAATGTATCACATCCAGCTGAAAGTGGCATTTATGGTCACACTCAACAGTTCATGTGTGTCAAGTCATATAGCACGAGCATTTGATCACTTTCATAAATCAGAGGGTAACGTGGGTGTTCCGGGAATGAAGATCTAAGTTCTCAGTTATTAGAAATAAGAGTGAATGGTAATGAGGGAGTGAAAATTCAATGACCTGGAAAGAAAATGTCATGTGGACACTCTTCTAAACTTTGTATGGCATATCTAAGGGACACGCCAATTGATCCATAAAAGCAGTTTCTCTGCGGTGAAGGAGTCAAAGTGTTGGGGCAAGGTGGTCAGCGGTGCACAGTATGCATACTTTTGTGCCCAAAGTTGCAAATATTAACAACTATATAATCAGAGGAAAATATCACGAAGCATTCGTGAAACTTTTTAAGACGCTCTAGCATTTTAGTTACTCTTGGGCAAAATACAATGAAGCACAGCACAGTAGCATAAAGAGAGGAAATAATGGGAAGGAAGAGTGAGGGCTCTATGATGGGGAGAGTGTCCAAAAAAAACCAGCTGTAGAGAATAGAGTGGGTTCTGTTTGGTGGAAGTGTAAGAGCACTTCAGGAGGCAAGGCAAGAAATGAGGCTTGAGGACTAAGAAGTGTCCTGATTGCCAAAAAAAAATCCTGAATTCCCAACTAAAGAGTTTGGAATTTTCGACTGAGAGAGATAAGGAGGCTATTGAAGAAAGGGACACAATATTTACATTTTTAAATATTCCTGTTCCTACTGTACAATTCCATATATATGAAGTCACAAACAGAAAAAACTAATCCATGGTGTTAGAAGACAAGCTAGTTACTCTCCTGGGAGAAGGCACAGAAACTAGAAGGGAATATGAGGACATCTCCAGGGAGCTGGTAACGTTTCTTGATGTGGGTGCTGTTTACATAGGTGAGCTTAATTTCTGAAAAATTAACTGAGCTATATACTATATAGACTTATACGTTCACTTATTTAAATGTAGCTTGTACTTCAATAAAAAATTAAAAAAGATTACTTTGGCTGCAGGATAGAGAATGGGATGGAGAGACAGGCAGAAGATGATGGAGGCTGACCTAAGGGAGCAGCAATGAGGCTGGACAGTAGGAGATGAACTAAAGCGTCATGAAGATTTAGTAACTGAACAGCTACGGAAAATGAAAGCGTAAGAGATGAAGAGGACCTGAGGGTGCAGATTTGAAGACAGGGTAGATGGCGTTGCAATGTCCTGAGAAAGGGCACACAGGAGTGAAGATGTTGTGGCCTCTAGCTCATTTATAAAATTAGAGAAGATGCCTAAGACAATCTTAAGGTCTCTAAGATCCCTGACGACAGCATGAATCAGGAAATAAGAACCTAGGCAGCACAGGCAGTAGGAGATGCCCAAACAATCCAACCTGGCAGAAGACAGAGGGGCTCAAAAGGAACAGACAGATGTGAAGCAAGAGTCAAACTGACGACTACATCAGTATTGACTTCAGCAAGAAAGTACCTCAAAAATACCTAGAGGTGAGGGTTGGTAGGGGAGAGAGAAAACCTAAAACTGAGCTAACGAACTATACAGAGAAGGTATCTTTGGAAGAGACTAGCAAATATGAATATGCAAAACCTCAAGCTACTGTAATAATAATAATAATCAGTTGGGGTATCTGTTTGGGAGTTACTATATATGCACTGACCCTACTAAGGCAGCCTGTAAACACCTACCCTAGCTGTCACCCCTGCAGCTTCTGCACCTAAGTTAGATGGACAAACACTCAAAATAGTGGCCTTATGGTTTGCGGTGGGTCATGCATAAGTTTTTATAAATCATGCGTAGAGAAGCAGTTCACAGCAGATAATGGTCTGGGGAAATTAACGGCCAGAAAAGAGCATCTGTATCAGTTGATCAAGAACAGACGTTCTAAATGTCACCAACTCAAGACAAAAGGAGTAAGACAGTTCTAGTAACCACTGCTTCTTGAAATGTGGCGACCTATGATAGAAGAAAACCACTTCTGAGGGTAAAATGGAAAAGGGGTGACAAGGTTTTTGTAAAAGTTCACATATTCATGTCTGAAATACTTTAAAAGGCTAATTTAACACAAAGCGGAGAAAATAACATTATCTTGTCTTCTTAAATATGCTGTACAGCCAATACTATGTTATAAATAGAGAAAACCACCCACAAAAAAGCTGGCAAATTCAAGAAGAAAGAGAGCTATTTTAGGTTGCCTCTCTCTGCCTTCAGTCTCTAAGAGCAGGGTGAAGTATTTTTACAAGGAAACAGATTTTTGTCTTAAAAATCATAAATACTTCAATCTGGTAGAAATTACTGGAACAATAATCCAAGACAAGCTCTGCATGCAGATTAAAAACAAAAACACAATTAGTCCCTTAAAGAGACTAAATCTTCCTTTAATCTCTCTAGAATTCACAAGGCTGAATGACACAATGAACTCATTGACGAAGGTCATCCGTTACAACAGGATCCACTATTTCTACAATTCTCTTCCTGCCTGCTAATTTCGTAACCTAGAACTGCCATTCAAGCAAAGAGTCAACGCCTATTGGGTACAAGGCTCTTTATACAAATGTTCCCAATTACCTACAAACAATATCACCATTCATGGCTTAAGAGAGCACTGTAAAAGGGCTGTCAGGGGCAAACCTTGGCTTTGGTTGCAGCTGAGGCAAGAGCAGCTGCTGCGGCTGTGGCTACGTTTCCTTCAGAAATTTCATGTTCTACTTTCTTCTTCCCGATATTACTTTCTCTTTCTTTACATGTGTCAGTGAGTTCTTTGTTCTCTTCAGCTTCCTTTTCTTCTGAAAAAAATCAGAAACCTTTATTACTAGTGTGTCCAGTCACAATAACCCATCTTTACCTCTCACCTCCGTCACGTGACAAACGAGGACTGATGTTACAGAGAGATCTCAGTGCCTTTTTCTTCTTTGTAAGATTTTTCTGAACCATTCCCAAGAGTTTAAATCTGCTTCTGCTTAGGATGGATTTTCTAAATGGTACGCTCTGTCTTCCCTTTCTCTAAACTCTGTGTAATCCCCTTGGATATAAACGAAATCTCAGGGGAACTAAGCCATAAGACCCACGTGTTTATTTATCAGTCAATGAAATGTTCTGGGAAACCCTCAGGTCCGGAAGAAATCCCAAGCTGAGAATACAGTACATCTGCAAGCCTCCTGAGAAAGGTAACAATGCGACGTGTCAGGAACAGACACTAAAAATAACATAGCAGGTCTGTGTAGTGACATCAGTCATGGTGAATAACGCGCTCATCCACATACTATTGAAAACGAAGAGGAAGAAAACCTAGACAACTAGCATCAGCACTGGAACCTATTTGCAAAACTAAACTCAAACACATATTTATTGTTACATTAACAAACAAACCGAAAATAAATCAGAAAACATTTCTATACAATTAAACTGCCCATACTTCTGCAGTATTTCTCATAGATTTACTTGAGTTTCCTCAAATTACCTGATTTAATATCCTCACTAACTTCACTATCATGTTCCTTCTCACTATTTTTTTCATTTTCTCCATCTTGTGCTTTATCACCGTCATTCATTTCATTTTCGCCTTTGTTTTCTGTCTGAAAGGGATACAAAAGTAGAGAATAGGGAATGAGTAAAAAAAATGGTCTTCATACAAATGATAGTATCTCAGACTAATATAAAGTTCCACTATTTTTGGCAAGAAGTGGACTAGGCTCAAAAGTGCCTTGGAGAAAAAAGCTAAAAGAGAAATTACTAAATTCAGAGAAGAATCTTTCACCATCAACTGCTCACAAGATAATACACATTAGCACACAGTCCCTACTCTCTCTGCACCCTCTGCTGTAAGACCAAAGTTGTTGTTGTTAGGTGCTGTCAAGTCAGTTCCAACTCATAGTGACCTTATATATATGAGAACAAAACACTGCCTTGTCCTGCGCCATCCTCACAATCCTTGCTATATTTGAGCCCAACTGTTGTAGCCACTGTGTCAATCTATCTCGTTAAGGGTCTTCTTCTTTTTCACTGACCCTCTACTCTACCAAGCATGATGCCCTTCTCCAGGAACTGGTCCCTCCTGATAACATGTCCCAAGTATGTGAGATGAAGTCTCATCATCCTTGCTTCTAAGGAGCATTCTGGCTGTTATTTTCCAAGACAGATTTGTTTGTTCTTCTGGCAGTCCATGGTACAGTCAATACTCTTCATCAACACCATAATTCAAAGGCATCAATTCTTCTTCAGTCTTCCTTTTTCATTGTCCAGCTTTCACAAGCATATAAGGCGACCAAAATTACTACAGCTTGGGTCAGTCGCATCTTAGTACTCAAAATGACATCTTTGCTTCTTAACATCTTTGCAGAAGATTTGCCTAGTGCCATACGTTGTTTAATTTCTTGACTGCTGCTTCCGCAGGCACTGATTGTGGATCCAAGTAAAATAAAATCCTTGGCAACTTCTATCTTTTCTCCATTTATCATGATGTTGCTCACTGGTCCAGTTGTGAGGATTTTTGTTTTATGTTAATGTGTAATCCATACTATAGCCTTTGATTTTCATCAGTTAAGTGCTTCATTCAAGTCCTCTTCGCTTTCAGCAAGCAAAGTTGGGTCATTTGCACACTGCAGGTTGTTAATGAGTCTTCCTCCAATCTCGATGCCACATTCTTCTATATATAGTCCAGCTTCTTGGATTATCTGCTCAGCACACAGATTGAATAAGTACGGTGAGAGGATATAACCCTGCTGAACACCTTTCCTGATTTCAAATGACTCAGTATCCCCTTGTTCTGTTCAAATGACTGCCTCTTGGTCTATATATATGTTCCACATAAACACAATGAAGTGTTCTGCAATTCCCACCCTTGGCAATGTTATCCATAATTTGTTATGATCCACACAGTCAAATGCCTTTGCACAGTTAACAAAATACAGATAAACATCTTTCCGGTATTCTCTGCTTTCAGCCAAGATCCATCTGGCTATCCCTCGTTCCATGTCCTCTTCTGAATCCAGCTTTAATTTCTGGCAGTTCCTATCAATGTATTGCTGCAAGTGTTTTTGAATTATCTTCAGCAAAATTTTAACTTGTGCTTGATATTAATGATATTGTTTGACAATTTCCACATTCCGTTCGATCACCTTTGGAAGGGGAACACATAGGGATCTCTTCCAGTCGGTTGGTCAGGTGGCTGTCTTCCAAATTTCTTGGCATAGGTGAGTAAGTGCTTCCCAGGTTGCATCCATTTGTTGAAACATCTCAACTGGTATTCCATCAATTCCTGGAGCCTTGTTTTTTGCCAATGCCTTCAGTGCAGCTTGGACTTCTTCCTTCAGAACCACAGTTTCTTGATCATATGCTACTTCCTGAAATGGGTGAACGTCGACCAATTCTTTTTGGTACAGTGACTCCGTGTATTCTTTCCATCTTCTTTTGATGCTTCCTGGGTCCTTCACTATTTTCCCTACAGAATCCTTTAATATTGCAACTTGAGGCTTGACTCTTTTCTTTAGTTATTTTAGCTTGAGAAATGCTGAGTGTGTTCTTCCCTTTTGGTTTTCTAACTCCAGGTCTTTGCATATTTCATTGTAATACTTTACTCTGTCTTTTGGAGTCGCCCTTTGAAATCTTCTCTTCAGGTCTTTTACTTCACCGTTTCTTCCGTTCACTTTAGCTACTCAAAGATCAAGAGAAAATTTCAGGGTCTCTTCTGACATCCATTTTGGTCTTTTCTTTCTTTCCTGTCTTTTTAATGACCTTTTGCTTTCTTCATGTATGATGTCCTTGATGTCATCCCACAACTCATCTGGTCTTTGGTCATTAGTGTTCCATGTGTCAAGTCTGTTCTTGAGATGGTATCTAAATTCAGGTGAGATATATTCAAGGTCATAGTTTGGCTCTTGTGGACTTGTTTTAATTTTCTTCATCTTCAACTTGAATTACATATGAGCAATTGATCAGTTGTTTTAGGAATTAGATGAAATCATAAGTGTAAAGCCCAAAACATGGTACTCTGGAACACTGTAGGAACTGTAATGAATTTTACTATTATTCTTATCCTCTCTCCTTACCTCTATACAATTTTAATATACCACATGTAATCAAGGCCTTAAATCCTTGCTAATATGTATTTACTCAAACTGACTGACTACCACCACGTACTATGGCATCGTGGGGGAAACAAAGACCTAGGCCCTGGAAAGGCGGTCAAGTCCCATTCTGCCTAGTCCATCTTACATTTATAGCCTATGACACAGGAATCAAGTCACAACATACTGGACACTCTGATGCCCTCCACATACTGACTTTAGTGTCTCTATCCCCAGCCAGTTGAAATCTTTCATTCTCTATCCTCCACTGCAAGTTCCATAGTTGTACCTGTTCTTTCAAACCTAGCTCAAATGTCGCCTTTGCCTGAAGACCTTTCTAAATATTCTTCTGCTGACTGTTAACTGTACTAGAAAATCCCTCAATATTCTGTTATTCTCTTTTGTCACAAGTACAGAACCTAAAACTACAATTCAATATTCCTAAGAACCATAACATTTTGTATTCCTATTCCCAACTATGGCTCAAGCTTGATAAATCTTCAATTAATGAATAAACATAAAATGTCCTACTTATGCCTTGGGAGAACTATACCTCAAAGCAGCAAAGTCTAAGTGGCTGACAGAGAACCGTTTACAGTCCCCTGTGAGGGACTCAAAAGATATGGAAAAAAACCAGAAACCCACACTGTTATGCTCTGAAAAGCATGTTCTTTGTGGCTTTCCTGTTGTGGGATAACTCAAATAGACAGACTTCACCTTTTCAGGCTGCTGACCATCAGTGTCTGCTTCCACCTTTTCCTCTTCAGCTCCTTCTACAAGTAAAAGAATAAGAACAAGTAATCCAATATGGAAAAAACAGTGAAAGCTATTACAGTTATGAGAGTGTCTGAAGTACAGCTATCCACAGAAATATGGATGAATCTTAGAACCATAAGGTTGACAAAAGAAGTCATATAGAAAACAACACATACCCTATGATTCTATTAATTTAAAGTTAAAAACAGGCAAAAGTAATCTATGGTGTTAGAAATCAGGGTACTGGTTAACTGGGGAAGGGGAGTAGCGACAGAAGGGAACCTAAGGGGGCCTCCTGGGGTGCTGGTAGGCTGTTTAGATGCAGGTGTTCAATTTGTGAAAATGCACTGAGCTGCACACTTAGGATTTTCACTTTCCTGTATATAGAAAACACTAAAAAGTTTTAAAAAATTAAAAAACTAAAAATAAAGACAATTTGTTATTATTTAACAGACACAAGAACAGGCATATATTTTGAGTGAGGAACTGGAGAAACAATGTGGAGCGAGATCTTCATTGGAACCTCAAGCGCATCATGTTCTGGCTGGAGAGACACAAATCATCAAGTCCACCAGAATACAACAGAGGCACATGTGAGCACGCATTACACGGGGCGGGGAGCAGAGAGGGCAAGACTGTCTCAGTCAGGGAAAGGTATGTGTGACAGAAGACTACATGAGCATTTTCTAGGCACAAGGCTGTGTGTACTGGGGGGTGCAATGGTAGTGCATGTATACAGAAAGGCATCTCAAGGAGAAGAGACAAAAAGGCACAAGAGTGCAAGACAAATTCAAGTCACAGGTCAGGACTACAATGGGAAGAACAGAAGGGAGAAATCAGAAAGGAAGAATAATACTGGTAAGGTACGCATAATAAAGTGCCCTGAATGTGGGTACTAAGGGGGTCTTAACTGCATCCTGTAGATAGGACATTAACAAAGATTTTTAAAATAAAAACATAAGATAACCAGATAAATATTTTTGGTTCTAGAACTTTATAAAGAAACAAGTATTTCAAAGGTAATAAAGATTTGCTGTAGATTTAAATAAAAATGTTCAAATATCCTACAGCTTAAATTTTTATATTATATTCTTACAATGATTGGGTAATAGAATTTACCCTCAATAAGAATATTTAAACATATTTAAACAAATATACTTAACAATAACAATCGAAGAATGTTAAAAGTATTGCATTAACAGGAAAATCCCTCTTTTTCTAATTTTTGTAGAAGGAATCAAATCTTGCTTTTTGAATTACGGCTCAGTAGGAGTTCCAAGAGATCCTCCCACTAAAGAAGCAACAAAAACCTAGAAAACACATGATATTTTGAGACATCATGAATCTCACATGAGATAAAGAAGCCTATAAGAATCACCACCTTTCAAAAATTACCAAAAGCCTACTGTACAGAACTGGCAACACAGTGTGGCCAAATCAGAGCCAAGACCTGAGCATTGGGCAAATGGAAGGACACGGTCGCCAAGATATAGTTGCCTGTGAGAGCTTGCTATCAGGAAACTGAGCTGTGGACTAGCTAGATCCAGGACAGGGTAGGGAAGGCTGGGATGCCTGCAGAGAACTGGCCACAAGGTTGGCCAAGGTAGCCCCAGATGAGTGGCAATCCCTGGCTACTAGAAGAAGCAGAAGGAAATCCTCTGCAGGACAGTTTTTCCAATCTCCAATTTTGGCCAAAAGGACTTCCAAGTAACAAGCTCAGAAAGAATAAACACCAATAAAATTAGCCCCTAAGACCAAGAGCAGAAACATTCATTAATCAACAGATTTAGAACCCAAGAAGTGCCAATATTAGATCTGTTAGATCCTGAATACAGAAGTCATATATGCAATGTGTAAATAAATAAAAGACAGAATCACAAAGATCACCAATCAACAAGAGAATATTAAAATGATCAGAGATTTAAAAAAAAAAATCAAAGGATCAAAAGATATATCCGGAAATGAAAGTCAGATTAAACAGCAGACTAGATCAGAAGAAGAGAAAACATATCTAAGAAACGACCCAGATAAAGGACAGGAAGATGGGAAATACTGAAGCACAGAAAAATATATGCCAGGCAAAAATGAAACCAAAGAATGAGTCATCTTTCCATAATACTGTAAGTCAACATGGAGTCCCTCAGTGGTGCTAAACTGTTAACACCCTAGACTGCTAACTCGAACTGTGGTTGGAGTCCACCCAGAGGCTCCTCAGAAGAAAGGTCTGGCAATCTATTTCTGAAAAATCTGCCACTGAAAACCCTATGGAGCACAGTTCTCTTCTGACACACATGGGGTTGCCATGAGTTGGAATCGACTCAACAGCCACTGGTTTTATTAGTCAATATAGGCATTAAGAGGGTATTATTAGAAATAGAGGATCACAACACAATGAAAAAAAGTTAAATTCACCAAAAAGTTATCATATTTCCATAATAGGAATTTTAGGAATCAATTAAGGTAGTATCAAAATATATAAAGCAAAACTGATAGAATGGCAGGGAGAAAATGAAAACCTACCATCATAGTGGGGGATTTCAACCAATCTAGCTCATCTAACAAAAAGATATACAGCAGATAAGAACACAACTAACAAGATGGTCTAATGCACATGCGCAGAATTTTACACACACTAACTGGAGAATAAATATACATTAATTCAAGCTCACATGAAATTTTAAAAATATATTAATTGCAAACTGGATCATAAAATAACTCTTCACACATTTCACAAAAAAAAAAAAAAAAACCAACCAAACAAAAAAAACCAATGCCTTAAAGACCAAGCTCTCTCACCACAATGTAATGAAGTCAGAAACTCAAAATACAAAGATAAAATTCTCTGTGCGTGGAAACTTAATTACAGGATACAGTGAAAGTAGTATTTAGAGGGAAATGTAAGGCCTTATACTTACATTAGAAAAGAAAAATAGTTCAAAGTTAATTAGCTGTATGTCCATTTTTATAAAGCATAAAAAGAATAACAAAACAAAGAAGGTCAGAAGGAAAAAAAAAATGAGAGAAGAAATTGTAAAACAAAAATACAACAGAGAGAATCAATATACCCAAAAGATGGTTCTTTGAAATGACAAATAAAATGGATAAACCTGTAGCGTGACTGATCAAGAGACAGAAAAAGCAAACTATATTAGGAATGGTAGAAACATCCTAACTATTGATAAAGCAAAGGTCTAGAAAGGAAGTAATGAAGTACTCTGAAGAATTTTATGCCAACAAAATTGAAAAATCAGAATAGAAAATTTATTTTACCAAACTGATTCAAGAAGAAAATGTCCCTAAGTCATTCTGTGAGGCCAGTATAAACTAGATTCACAAATTAGGTGAAGACAACATATAAGGAAAATTATAAGTCACTAGTCTAAATCCCATTTGTAATCACAAACGAAAAACTCCTAAGCAAAATTACTGGGAAAAAAAAATACAGTAGTATATAAAAAAGGTAATACACTATGACAAAACAATATACCATGACAGTAACAGAATGGTGATTTAATTATCAGTAAGTCTATAAATCCATTTATTCAGATGCATTAGAAGTGTCTAATAAAATTCAACAGACTTCATGATCAAAGCCGCTGGAAAACAAAGTCCACACAGAAAATTTCTAAACCCCAGAAAGATTGTTAACAAAAATCCTATAGCAAATGCCATTCTTCATGCCAACAGTATTCCCTTTAAAATCAAGAGCAAGACAAGGTATCAGTATTACTACTTCTGTTCATATTGGCCTGGAGGTCCCGGTCAATGTAGTCAATTAAGAAAAAGAAACTAAAGGAAGAGGACTGGAAGGGAAAGAAGAGTAATGATTGCAGAGAATAAAACTATCTAGATGAATCTGCAGGGAAGTTTTGAGAAATAATCACAGGGTTTAGCAAGGTGGATGGCTATAAAATTAATATACAAAAGCAAATGCATTTCAATATATTATCAAAAATCAATTCTAGATAAAGATACAAATGTGAAAAACAAAACTTGAATGATATCCTGAAGACACAAGTGATAACCTGAAAAAAAAAAAAAAAGGACAGATTTGACTCTATGAAAATCAGACATCTTTTCATTAAAAAACACCAAAAACAAAGTAAAGACAAATAACAAAATGGCATAAAACATGCGCGGCACATGAACTAGTAAAAGACTAGCACACAGAATTTATAAAGAAAAAGAAAAACCTTATAGGAAAGAGAGCAGAAAACAAGAACAGTTGTTTTACAGAATTACTTATGACCAATAAATGTAAGAAAAGATGCTCAAATTAGGTCTCAGAGAAACACATTAAAAATTTAAGAACATAATGAAACGTCATTTTACACCACAAGATCAGCAGAGTCTAACATTAGGAAGTGTTCACTCAATTATTGCTGGTAGGAATGTAACCTGGTCTATTCACTTTATGAAAAAAATTTCCATTTTCTAAAGCAGTGCTACTCATAGGGCCAGTCCATAATAAAGCAAGGAGTCAGGCAACGACATTAAGCAAGGAGAGTGAAGAAAACCAAAACTCAAAGAAACAATCAGTCCAAAAGACTAATGGAGCACAAGAACCACAGCATCCACTACCCTGAGACCAGAAGAACCAGATGGTGTCCGGCTACCACTACCCACTGCTCTGATCAGAATCACAATAGAAGGTTCCAGCTAGAGTGGAGGAAAAAAAGTAGAACAAAATTCAAATTCATTTACTGGTCTGAGATAGACTGGAGGAACTCCTGAGACTATGGCCCTTAGACACCCTTCTAACTGAAGCCACTCCTGGAAATCACCTTTCAGCCAAATAATATACAGGCCTGTAAAATAAATAATAACACTCGTGAGGAAAGTGCTCCTTGTAACAATCATCTATATGAGAAAAAAAGGGCAATGTCTGCTCAAAAGCAAAGATGAGAAGGCAGGAAGGGGCAAGAAAACCAGACAAATGGAAATAAGGAACTCAGGATGGTAATGGGGAGAATGCGGACACATCGCGGGGATTACAACCAATATCACGGAACATTTTGTGCATAAACTACTGAACAGGACACTTAATTTGCTCTATAAACCTTCACCTAAAGCACACACACACAAAAAAAACAAATTGGGGAAAAAAAACAATAAGTTTCTGTTAAGTCGATTCCAACACATGGCGACCCCATGTTTTTCAGAGTAGAACTGAATTCCATAGGGTTTTCATGGCTGTGGTGGTCTTTCGCAAGCAGACTGCCAGGTCTTTCTTCCAAGGCACCTCCAGGTGGGTTTAAACCACCAACCTTTCCATCAGTAGCCCAGAGCTTAACTGTTTGTGCCACCCAGGGAGTCCAAAAAACTTCACAAGTTACTCTGAATTGAATGTGCACTAGGCCAACTTTGCTGAGGCAGCTTATTTACAATGAATAAGTATTATGTGGGAGAAAAGCAGTATGATTTTTTTCTTCCCCAAGATATTTGCTTTTGAAATGACTACCCACAACACACAACACCACATTCCAAAAAGACTACACACTTGTTTTCTTTATGGTCAGGCAAGTCAAATTTGATATCAACTCTTTAATAATCTATGATTCCAACATGATTAGTTACATAAATTTCTCTACTAATATGATGATGGTGCAATTAAAGACTGATCCTATGTACCAGGAACAACCTGGAGACAGTACTCAGACTTCTAAGGGATGTCTACTAAGAGTTTAATTACAAGACACTAAGCAGAGGACTCAGTTAAGCTGTGCACAAATTTCTGACTCAAAGAAACTTGAGATAATAAATATATCTTGTTTTAGGCCATTAACTTTGTGGTACATATATGTATGTGGTACATAACTTTGTTATGTAGCAATATGTAACTAACATACCTAACTAAACTTTTGAATGAACCTCAGAGGAGGATGAGAAACAAATCAGCTGGCATCCACGATCAGAGTATTTTCAGAAACTAGAACAGAAAGTGCCATTGCATTGCCAGTTAGACCTTGCTCTAGCCCTTGCTTCATCTCCCACAAATACTGACACCTCTAGTCTGCTCTGAAAAGGAGCCCTGGTGGTGCAGTGGTTAAGCACCCAGTGATCGAAACCCACCAGCCACTCCACAGGAGAAAAATGTGGCAGTCTGCTTCCATAACGACTTACAGCCTTGAAAACTGTATGGGGCAGTTCTGCTCTCTCGTATAGGGTCATCAGGAGTCAGATTCAACTCGACAGCAAAGGGTTTTCTGGAATCTGTGCTGGGTCCCCTCCCCTGCACTTGTCCCATTCCAACAAGCCCACTTTAGTTTGAGAGGTATCTGTGTCTCTTTCACCTTTCTTAGAGCTGAGCTAAGCTCCAGTTTCCATCCATCTACCAGTCCAGACTTCATTCCTTTACTGTCCTACTACACCTTTCTCATAGGAAATCTAGAAACCATCTCCTAAAGAGTTAAGGAACTGAGAAAGTTAGCATGAGGAGAGAAATAAACGCTCGCAAAGTAACTGTCTTTAATGAAAAGCATAACTAATATTTATTATATAACAAAAAAAATAAGTAATGCTGCTCCCTAAAAAAGAACTATGATTTAACTTGATGGGAACACTCTCCATTTCCTGCATCTCACCTGTCTACTGACAGCAGTTACTTTTTAAAACAGACTGAATCATGCTCATGCTACTTCTATTCTCTGATGATTTCCCAATGACTACAAGGCAAAAAAACAAAACAAAACAAAACAAAACAAAACCTGTTGCTATCAAGGAATCAATTTCGACTCATAGTGACCTTATAGGACAGAGTAGGATTGCCCCATAGGGTTTCCAAGGAGAGGCTCGTGGATTCGAACTGCTGACCTTTTAGTTAGCAGCTGAGCTCTTAACCACTGCACCACCAGGACTACACAAGGTAAAAGTTCCTCAAAGTTAGCTCAACACATATTTCTACAGTTGCACTTGGCCCCGTAGTACCTGCTCCCCACATACTTCTTGGTATTCTTTCCAGAATATGCCACCTACTTTCATCTTTTTGCCTTTTTCATTCTTATTTGAAAGGTCGCCACCTCCTTTGCAACAGCGTACATAACTGACCCACACACAACTAATTGCATTTCCTCTACATGCACCTCTATTTATAGAACGTTACCACATAGTATGCCTATTATTATTTATAACAATATCTCCCTCCAATAACTGAATATTCTTGAAGGACATGGTCTTCAGTGGTTCTCAAAATGATGACTGAGTACCTCTGGGTCCTTAAGGTCGAGACTATTTTCACATTAAGATGTTATTTGCCTTTTTCACTCTCTTTTTCTCGTAAGTGTGGAGAATTTCCAGAGGTTACATGATACAAGATGAAGTCATCACTCTGATAGCTAAAGGAATGTGCACTTACATATGCTTAGGTTTTAAAAGTTTCTCAGTTTTAATTTATAGTATAATAAACATCAACAGATACAACCCACATAAAAAGAAGCACTTTGGGCTTCTCAATATTTTTAAAACTACAAAGGAATCCAGATCAAAAAGTTTAAGAATTGTTAGTCTAATTCATCTCTGTCTTCTCAGGGAAGAGCAGAATATGGCACACAGTAGGAACCCATTCAGCAATCTGGGACACTGATCATATCATTCCCTGTACTAAAGTTCAAGTGTTACTTAATCCCAGCAATACACAGTTCAAGCTCTCATGAGCCTTGCCTCCAACTCCGTATAATCTAGCTCCAACCTGCCTTTGCAGGCTGCTCTCTTTCCATGTCCTTATTTAAATCTTTCATTGTAGCCAACTTGGTTTACTTTCTACACTGTATAAACAACCTCCCATTTCCACAGATGAGCTGTTGTTCATATTGTTCTACAGAATTGAAAACTTGCTCCAACCTGGCTCAGTGACATTCTAGGCCTTTTTCTGGGTTCAACTCAAATCCTACTTCCTTTGTGAAGCATTCCTCAGTGAAAAATTACATGTGCCCTCCGCTAACTCTTATAGTACTTCCTATGTACAGTACCCCTTCAACAATTACTATGTTTCTTTGTATCTCCAACCCTCCAGCACTGAATTATTTCTCCACGTATATGTGTAACTTAGCACAAAAATTAGCCTCACTTATCAGAAGACATGAACTGTGTTTTATATGATACATATTGCCACAAGCAAAAGATATATATCAAGTACTCAAAATGCCTAGTTTGAAAAAACAGTGTTCCCGAAAGCAGACAACTGTATTATACAGTCAAACCTGCCACAGCAGGAACCTGTGTAAGGTGGAAATCTGTCAGAGAAGGAAAACGCAAATACTTTCCAATAAAATGAGCAACAGACTAAAGGTAAGATTGCATCCTGTCAAACGCAGAAAGCTGGCGAGACTCAGAAAAACAAGACAGTCCTGCCAAGTTCCAGGTCTCATAGGTTTTACTGTATAATGGAAGCCACTTTCCTCCTAAAAATACATATCCTGCCATCTAATAAATATGAGTCATCAGACAAGTCACTTAAATTCAAGCCAGTAGTAGCAAATCCTTGGAGGTTAAATATGCAATTATGAGCTGCTCCAAAGTTTGAGTCTATATTGCAGCGTCTCCTGAAATTGCTCTGAAAGAGCCCTTCAAACACACCAGTGGCAAAGGTCCCACTCCACATGACCTAAGTCTGATGATCAAATGCTGTTCCACTGTTTCTCAGCTTCACTGGCTTAGCGTGTTTTCACACACGGTGTTTCAGAACTCTCGGGCTTTAAAAACACTGTATGGAAATCCTCATGGTGAGAAGACGCAGGCTATTTATAAGACATGAAGAGAAACTGAAGCAAGAATTACAACAGTCTAGGGCTTTATGTTCCTAGAAAGTCACCTTTATCACATCAATGCTGAAATAAAAATATGACGAGACAAAAGATAAATAAGGAAATAAAGGAAATAAAAAACTTAAAAATACAGGCAAAAGACTTGAATAGATATTTTTCTAAAGATATAAAATTGGCCAACAAGCACATGAAAAGATGCTCAACATCATTAGTCATTAGGGTAATACACGTCAGAAAACAATGAGATAGTATTTCACACCTACTAGGATGACTACAATTTAAAAAAAGGAAAAATAACAAGAGTTAGCCCATATTCAAAGTCTTCATCTAAAAATAGCCATCATACACTTTACCACTATGACACTATCAAAACAGTTATGAGATAGTTTTTTAGTTCTAGCTACTTAGGGAGAGTAAGAAGAGAATAAGGAAAAAAAAAAAAATCAAACACTAATCTTAAGAGACAGGTTTATACTGAACCCTGTACCCTTAAATGCAAGCAAATCCAATTACTTTAGTAAGCCAAGAGGAAAATACCAACATCCATTAACCCTGTCCTTTGACAAATGAAGGCTGCAGGACTGACTTACCAAGCTTCTCTGGCTCCTCGGGCCCTGTGCCTGCAATGCAACTGCTTTCCAGACCGTAGGTGGGATCCACTTTCCCAGAGGCTCGTGCTGCGTCTTGCACTTTTTTGACATGAGCTTCAACCAATTCCAATGGTACTTCCTCCCGAACCCGAGAAAACTCCTCTGGAAAAAAAAAAGAGGTAATCAAAACCCAAACTTGCTGTCATTGAGTCAATCCTGCTTTGTAGCCACCCTACAAGACACAGGAGAACTGCCCCATAGGGTTTCCAAGGCTGTAAATCTTTATGGAAGCAGCTTGCCACATCGTTCTCCCATGGGGGTGGCTGGTGGGTTTGAACTGCCGACCTACTGGTTTGCAGCTGATCGCTTTAACCACTGAGCCACCAGGGCTCTCTAAAGAGGGAATAGTGACGTGGTATGGTACAAACATTTGCTGCAATGTAAGACCACTATGAAATCTGAAGTACCCTTAATGTTTTGGGTATAGGGACCTCTGGGACTTGGTCCCTATACCAGCAAAGTGAGAGAGCCAAATGAGATAATCACATATAGTGATGAAATTCTGTGACTCTAGGTTTTAACCTACATGTCACAGAAGCTTGCTCTATAAATAGAGATCTTCAAATTTCTGTAACAAAATTGTTATCCAAATTTTATCTAGTTACCTGCTGGCTAGGGTGATAATGAAGAAAAATGCAAGGATTAAACAACCCTAAAGCTAAGAAAAAGTTCTATAATGTAAAAAAGTTCTAGTTACAATTAATACAATTCAAGAAGATTCAACAATTCCCATTACTAGATACATAAAATTAAATATTAGTCACAAAAATACACCATGAAAAATTCTCCTTTGTGTCTCCAATTTTTAATCAATGCTCTTAAGTATTTAACTACAATTTAAGTGCTTTACTTTATAAATGTTGTAATACTTTTAGATAGTACATGGTGTCTTTATGGGGTAATTTCTGAAACTTTTGTTAATTATTTAATAAAAGTAAATATAACAGTGAAATATAACATTTAAATTTGAAATAATTTTAATATGAAGTAGCATAAAGCATGATCTGAAGAAGCTTTTCTGCTGGAGAGATGGTGTAGGGAAGTCCATACCCAAAGCTGCTTTTGCTGCAGCAGATGCCACACGTGGGTCTACCACAGAGGCCAAGAAAGCAACAGTGCTCATGACTGGGTTTCCCGACTGACTGAAGGGGACAGGCTGGTAGGCCAGAGGCCCAAGGGAAGCATCTGAATTCTCAAGGTATGGGTCCTCAATGGGAAGCCTCAAAAAGTGGAGGATGCACTCATCCTGAGTACGACTTCCAACATGTTCTGACACTTTGTTCCAATCATCCTTGTACATCTCCAGGGCCTAAAATGGAAAAAACAGGAATTCTAATGTCAGGTAACAATCAAATAATATGCAAAGATATCAGAAGCCTGTGACTGTTCTTCAGACAGCTTTCCTTTCTTTTAAAAAAAAAAAAAAAAAACAGTTGTCATCGAGTCGATTCTGACTCACAGTGACCCTATAGGACAGAGCAGAACTGCCCCATAGGGTTTCCAAAACTGCAAATCTTTATGGAAGCAGACTGTCACATCTTTCTCCTGCGGAGCAGCTGGCAGGTTCGAGTGCTTTACACTGTGCCACTAGGGCTCCTTTTTAAAATAATACTAAGGGTTATACTAAATACCCCATAACAGACAGGTCTGATAGCTTTCCTTAGACTAAGTTCTCAATCAGGCAAGAAAAATAAGTAAAAGGCATACCTACTGGAAAGAATTAAAACTGTCTTTTATTTACACAGACATGATTGTTTGTACAGAAAATGCAAAGAATCTACCAGAAAAGGTACTAAACGAAAAAAGTTTAGCAAGGTCCAAGGAGAGAAGGCAATACAACTCAGTTGTATTTCTATATATACTAGCAGTGAACAATTTTAAATTCAAAAAAAGTTATCATTTACAATAGCATTAAAAAATGAAATACCGAGGAACAAATCTAAGAATGAGTAAGATCAATATGCTAGGAAAGAAAAACAAACGACAAATACGCTGGTGAAAGAAACTAAAGGCCTAAATAAATGAAGAGATATTCTGTGTTAACATATTAAACGTCTCAGTACTTAGGCGTCAATTCTCTCCAAACTGAACCACCGTTTCAATGAAACCCCAATAAAAATCTCAGCAGACTTTTGAAGAAACTGATAAACTGATTCTAAAATTTACAAGTCTATAAATTTCTACTTTTAAAATTTATAATTTTTCAGAGAAAATCCTGAAACACTCCAAAAGGAGAGAATAAAAGAAGTCTTCAAGGGGGAGAAGGGGGAGATGGTAGGAAGAATACCAGAAATGCATGGTGCTAAACAAGTCAAGGAATTAACTGGGTAAAAAGAATCTATTTGACGGCTGACTGAAGTTGCTACTCTCCCACAGTTCTCTCTAGAGCGGTAGTTCTTCACCAGGGGCAATCTGGCCTCTTCAGGGACATCTGGCAACATCTGGAGACATTTTTAGTTGACACAACTGGGCATATGCTACTGTCATCCATAGTAGGGGCCATGGATGATGTTAAATATCCTACAATGCATGTAACAGCCACCCACAACAAAAAACAATCCAGTGGGGACCATGGTCTCGGGGAACATCTAGCTCAATTGGCATAACACAGTTTATAAAGACAGTTCTACATTCGACCTTGGTGAGTAGCGTCTGGGGTCTTAAAAGCCTGTGAGCAGCCATCTAAGATACTCCACTGGTCTCACCCCTTCGGGAGCA